AACGTCGTTAAGCAAATTAACCATACAATTTTTATTAGGGTAGTTTCTAATAAATCTGCAAACTTCACAGACATTTAATGAATTACATAGGAACTTCGCAGGAAATGTTGTGAAAATTCTGAGAACTTCGTAGAGATTCGGAAAACATTGTAGAAATTCTGTAAATTTCGTAGAAGTACAGCATTCTTCAAAGCAGTTTCTCATACAAAAACTAGCTAAATGAACTTTCTCACAGTTTTGGGAACTTCGTTTCGTACAGATGTTCAGGTAAATTCTTGGAAAAGGCTCAGGCTCTTCCCAGAAGTTTGGAGAAGCTCATGGATTTTATAAACTCGTGCTTCAGTCAAAAGAGCTTGATGTAAAATATTATGGAACTTGTAAGAAGTTCAGGGAACATTTTATATATACAGGATGACTGGGTAATTCGTGTTACACCCGAAAGGAGGTGAAAGTAGACCACATTTTCAGCAACAAATTGTATGGCAAGGTTGGTCTAAAAATCATTTCTTACCGAGTTATTGATCTATTTATTTTACATTGTCGAGCAACACTACCACTTTTTGCTCGGGCACTCGCGAATATTAACATAGCCCACCAGGGAGTAAGCATTGCTAGGCTACTGTGATCAATCTTTGTTTACTAACCACTCTATTCGATTGGCGCCACAGGCAGAGTGGTTAGTAAACAAAGATTGATCTTAGTAGCCTAGCAATGCTTACTCCCTGGTGGGCTTGCGGGTGTAACACGAATTACCAGTCACCCTGTATATGATAGGGGAAAAGTTTGCTTCGGCAATACCTTAACCTATTATCGTCAGGGGTAAACAAAATCCTTGAGAGCTCAATTTTGGCATGTGGATACATTGTGTTTCAGAGCAACTATTGGCCAAATTTGAGTGCTCTAGGACTTTGTTTACCCCCTGACGATAATAGGTTAAGGTATTGCCGAAGCCAACATTTCCCCTATATGATTTAAAGAAAATTCGAACAGGTTCACAATTCTTGTGAGATATTCAGCTGTAGGTTGTATAAGCAATGAGCAGCAACGGATCTTAGCACAAGTTTAAGGATCTTCATTGAGGTTCAGGAACTTCCTTAGAATTCATAAAGCTGAGATTTAGCTGATAAACATTTTGAATCTTGTAAAAATTTTAAAATGGCGTCTTGAAATTTAAAAAGAAAAATGTATCCCGAAAACGGCACTTCTGATCGAAATGACGTTTGAGTTGTTGAGAAAAATAATATTTTTTCTGGGAAAAATCTCCAAAACATGTTTTTAGTCTATCTATCTTCTATATATATAAAAATGAATTTCTGTCTGTCTGACCCTTATAGACTCGGAAACTACTGAACCGATTGGCGTGAAAATTTGTATACAGGGGTTTTTGGGGTCGTGGAAGGTTCTTATGATGGTTCGAGACCCCTCCCCTTTCTGTAAGGGGGGGGGGCTCCCATACAAATGAAACAGAAATTTCTGCATAACTCGAGAACTAATCAAGCAAATGGAACCAAATTAGGCATGTGGGGGCGAGTGTGGGGTATAAGGAGATAATCATAGGGGTAGCCCCTTAGATAATAGGGGGGGGGGGGCTACGTACAGTATAGCATGCTTTTTTTTAAATCGGCGCATAAACTCAAGCTAATATTGAATCCCGAGCAAGACCGGGCACACTCAGCTAGTAATCTATAAATATAAAAATGAATTTCTGTCTGACCCTTATAAACTCGGAAACTACTGAACCGATCGGCGTGAAAATTTGTATGTAGGGATTTTTGGGGCAGGGAAAGGTTCTTATGATGGTTCTAAACCCCTCCCCCTCTGTAAGGGGGGGCTCTCATACAAATGAAACAGAAATTTCTGCATAACTCGAGAGCTAATCAAGCAAATAGAACCAAATTTGGCATGTGGTGGTCATCGGGGGTAGTACCTTAAATAATAGGGGGGGGGGGGGGGGGGGCTACGTACAATATAGTTTTTTTTAATTGGTACATATACTCAAGCTTATATTGAATCCTGAGCAAGGCCGGGCACACTCAGCCAAGGTTGCAAAGACTCATTTCAGCTAAAACAAGGTTTTTCTAAATTATGAAATAATTAGATGCCATGATCAAATTTTGAATTGGTAGGATACAAGAAGAGGTTGCAAAGAATGTGTTTGACATATTAAACCTGTTTATTTCACTTCATGAGAGTCACAATCAGCGATTTTTCACAAACTCACTCACTCACTCACTCACTCACTCACTCAGCGATCAGCAAATCGCTGATTGTGACTCATAGAAAGCAAAATTTACAAGTTTTATGTTTCCAACGGATACTTTGTAACCTCTTCTTGTAAGTTACAAGTAAAACATGCCATCATACCATCTTTTGGTTTTATTATTCCGAAAAACATTATTTTAGCTGAAATGAGTCTTTGCAACCTTGCACTCAGCTAGTTTCAGATAAAAAAAAACCAAATATCTCACAATGTCCTGGTTCAATTTCTAAAAAAAAAGGCCCATTGAATATACAAACTGTTGGAATGATTTAAATTATGGTCACTTGAAAATTGTTGAACTTTAGAGTTTCTAAAATCTAACACCGATCCTGTCTCTAATAAATTGAAAACTCTTGCATCCGTAATTTATTGCAATACGATAAACATTTTCTCGCGATAACAGAGTGTCCTACAGATGACTCCATCCTATCAGCACAGACAAACAGACATAACACATTGAATATTTCTCACTATAAAACATCGTCGCTAAAACATTACCGTTATCTGTTGAGTACACTGTGGTGGATAGTACGCTGAACAGATGGCGATAGTGTGTTAACGTCAAACGCAAGGGAACTGACTATGCGCGCCACAGGTGGCGGTACTACCAACTACGATACTTTTAAATTGGCCGTTAAATGCTTGTTCGATGAACAACTTGTCTGTTTGTCTGTGCTATGTCTGTTTGTCTGTGCTATCAGTATCACGTTCAATCTGCTCACGTATATGTAAAACTGGATTCATGCATCTCGCTTTGCATTATTGTAGCCATCCGACCGCGGAAGATACCCTTCCGAGCGATCTTATCGCGGTCACGTCGTTCGGAAGTGTGCACGAGATCTAATTATCATTCTGCAACCCCTTTACTACCCATAATCGCATAACCGTCCCATATGGATAGGAAATCAAGCAGAGATGGGACTGATATGCGATTATGGGCAGTTTAACAGGTGATTGTCGATTCCAGCTAGTCATTGTCAGATGAAATTTGACCAGACGACAACTTTGCTGCTATCACATCCTGCCAAAATTCTTATAATCGCTAATTGGTGATCGATATTTTGGACCTGTCAGTCAGTGTCGTAAGCCGTGATATGCGGAATCCAGCAATTGACCAAACACCGAAAGCCGATTGCGATAAGAGATTGGTATTTTGTTTACAATCATCTTCGTCCGTGATACGAAGTGCGATGGTGTTGATATGGTAATCAGGGTTGCCAAAACTACAGATTAATATGTGTTTCTTCAGATTTTTAAGACTTTTTAAAACCAAGAATTTGTATTCCCTAATAAAATTTGTGTGCAGGATATCATCCAAACCATTTGTGGAATAGTTGTATCATTTGGATTATCGTTCGGCTATGGTTTTTTTTTATTAGGGTTCACAGATCACAGATTTTTAAGATCGTTGGATTCGGTACCAATATTTCATTAGAGCCAAACTGCTTTTGTAAACAATGGCTTCAACCACCGATTTATCGCTTTTAAACGTGTGAGAAACCGCAAACTAACCATACATACAGGTAGATGAAATTTGCCTCTACTATATGGTGCTTTTAGTTTGAATGTGTGAGTTTTTACTCGTGATAAATCGACGACATAAGTCATTGTTTACAAAAGCAGTTTCACCCTTTTGAAATGTTGGTGAAGAATTATGATCAAATAATTTAAAAAAAAGGTTACTTTGATTTAAAAATACAATAAAAACAATTTGACGGTGATGGGTAATCACGCTGAATGATACATATGAAATATCTTCAACTAGACATGTTTTCAGATGAAAACATTTAAATTAGAAAGCACCGCTCTTCAAACCTGAGAAGGAGAAATCAAGCTAAAAATTCCTCAGCTGAAATTATTTCTATATGGAAGCATAGACAAACATACATAACACATTGAATATTTCTCACTGTAAAACATCGTCGCTAAAACATTACCGTCATCTGTTGAGTACACTGTGGTGGGCATGTGTATAAACGTCAAACGCAAGGGAGTTGTCTATGCGCGCCACAGGTGGCGGTACTACCAACTACGATACTTTGAAATTGTCCGTTAAATGCTTGTTCGATGAACAAATTGCGAATGTTATGTCTGTTTGTCTGTGATGGAAGGTTCCGATTTTTTTTTCCGTATTATCAACATTGAAATCTTGGATAATTTTCCAAGCCGGATATCTTAGAATTAAGATCAAGTGCGCGATTCATTCTTTTCCTTGATGAGACCTTAAAGTTTGAAGAATTCAGAATCTTAGAAATGTTTCGAAGTTCAAGACCTGCAAAAAATCTAATAGTCCCAGAGTGTTAAACATTGCTAAGAAGATTGTTTCTATTTTCAGCCAAGCGGCCCAACACCAATTTGACATGGTTATTTATAATATACTGCTCTTGCACCAATGATCTGAAGTCGCGAATGAGCTGAGATGCAAAATTACATTTGCGAAGCAAGCGAAATAGTGCTGCTAGCCAAAACTTGATGGGAAAACATTATCCTTTCTGGTGGTGGTGTTAGTTTGCGTGAGAGTGCTAAGAGTTTTGACAAATTATTTAAAGCAGATATCATCACAGATTTTCTGGACAAAAAAGATTTTTCGGAACAAAAACACAGATTTCCTTTTGGCATCCCTGTATTCGTAATACACATTAAACAGCCATAAGCAACGACCGGTTTCCGAAAGTCGATTGGTAATTACTGGGTACTACATTATTTCGTATGACTGTCACGGTACTTCAGTCGGGTGGTAAACTTTGATACGGAAAGACACACGCTGTCGGTTGGGCAAGACAAAGACGATGGATAAAAGAGTAACGTTACTGTGCATTTTGCTTAATTACATTGTTGGCAGTCAACAGGTAAGCTTGTGGACTTAGGTTAGGATTATTTTGGATGATATGACGATGACATGCGCGTTTGAGTGATTGTAGCAATCGACGCCTAATGACGATCACTACTGGGCGGGTGTGGTGGAGTTCAGCTTTAAGGAAAGATCGGTCGACTCGGAATCGCCCGTGGTCTACACGGCAAGGAATTTGGAGCAATACAAGCAGATAATCAATTCTACGGAAGCTGACCCGGTGGATATTATTGTTTTTCCAGAATATGGCTTGAGTGCCGTTGAAACGGCTTCATTTGTCCCGAACCCGGTCGACCTTATTGCGCCATGTAACAATCTGGAATATGAGGCGGTTGTGAGGGATTTATCCTGTTTAGCGAGAGATCGTCAGAAATATTTGGTTGTGAATCTGGTGGAGAAGGCCCTCTGTCCGGAGGAATGGGAACGGCGGCCATGTGCTCCGAATGGTTTGTACCACTTCAATGCGAACGTTGTGTTCGACCGGAATGGACGCGTCATCGCTCGCTATCGAAAGTTTAACCTATTTGGAGAGGCTGGAATCAATGTTACCTCTTGGGCTGACTTAACTCATTTTGAGACAGATTTCGGAGTTAAGTTCGGTACCTTTATCTGTTTCGATCTGATGTTCGAACAACCGGCTTTGCAACTAGTTCGCAGTGGAGTTACCGATTTCATCTTTTCTACCATGTGGTTTTCGGAGCTACCGTTCCTGACTGCAGCGCAGATTCAGCAAGCTTGGGCCTACACAAACAATGTGAACTTTCTGGCGGCCGGAGCGAGCTTCCCAGAGGTCGGCAGTACCGGTACTGGAGTATTTGCTGGAAAACGAGGACGGATCGTTGCCGTGATGAACCATAATGCCGATTCGTATGTTAACTTCAATTAATGGGCCATTATCTGGCATTAATGGTTATTGTTATTCACAGGAAGCTATATGTGGCGCAGGTTCCGAAAATAAGCAGACCTCAAGCTACCATCAGCCGTCAACCGGTCATCAGGTACACCCCAGCTGAGATGTCGAATCTTAAGTTGAAACGTGATCATATCGATGGCTATCGGACTTCAAATCTTCCGTTGAACGTCAGCTCCCATCAAGAATCGTTGTGCCAGGGCTCGTTGTGTTGCAACTTCACTATTGATTATACTGTTACGCTGCCAGCGGATGTCAACCAGGTAAGATTTACAAGCAAGATGAAATTTTCCATTAATGTCGATCAAGTTTCTAGATGTTTCTGGAGCTTCTATAGATCTTCTTTACTATCGCTATTCACTTAACAGGCCCGTAGATTGGGAATCCACGGGACATGGGACTGTGATGGGAATAGTGGCAGATTAGGGAATATCTAGAGATGTTCAAAAATCAGCAAGAAAAGTTCGGGGAATATCTAGAAATGTAAAAACAAAACATCTAGAGAAGCTCAGCAAATATTCTCTCAATTCTTTGGAATGCTCTGAAGTTCTCTAAAAATTCCCTGTAAAGCAAATGATGAATCGGAAAAACTCGACCTTCTTCGACTTTGCATAATTGCTGTGGGCAATGATTCACATACTTGCAAAAACTCGGCCATTTTGAATCGAGTAAAATTTTCAAAATGGCTTCACTGATATTTTTCAAAAGCTTGCTGCGCGGAAACGGAACTTCTGATTGAAATGACTTCCAAGACAAAGTTGTAGAGAAGAATACTGTTTTTCTGAAAATTGTTTTTTTTATGTATTTAGCAGCTTCAAGTAAAAATAAAAAAAAGTTAAATCCCTAAATATTTAAAAATGTCCTGGTTAGATTTTCCAAAGAAAAAAGCTTATGAAGAATGTAAACTTGTGGAATGTTTAAAAATTATGGACACTTAAAAATTGACAGAAAGTAAAAAGTTAGTAAAACAGAAAGTAAAAAGTTAGTAAAATTTTTGAACTTTTTGTTAAAACGAATTTTTATATAATTTATACTTAAGGTTCAATTTACTTTGATGCATTTTTTTAAAAATTCAAAAGCAGTTTTTTTCGACGCATTATTTTAGATTGCAAAAAGCTCGCGTCATTATGTGTAAAATATCAAAAGGAATCGAATAGTGCGAGTTTTTTGCAATCTGAAATAATGCGTCGGAAAAAAACTGCTTTTGAAATTTTCCAAAAAGCATCAAAGTAAATTGAACCTTAAAAAAAAAATGTTCGAGACATTTGAAATCAATTTCTGTGAAAACATACTCAAAAAAGCGTACTAACAAAAAGTTCTAAAAATTGACCAAAAGTTCATATTTCGAATTTCAGTTTTTCAAGTGTCCAAAAGTTTGAGCCTTCCAAAAGTTTGCGATTCTTCTAGGTATTTGTTTTTTAATAATCAGAAAGACATATTTCCGGAGAACTTTGAGATTTGGGCGTAATTTCTTTTGTAAACAAACATCAATTGACGATTTCTCGCGAGTAAAGGCTCAACCTAGAAAATTAACAACACACACAGGTTGAGTAATACCGTATGCGTTAAAATCCCGATGTAGACCTCCTTGTTGACCTTGTCGCCTTCTGGAATGAACAACGGGTCCATCTTTTGCCATCGGAAGCCACCAATCCAAACACCATAACGCTAGCAGGATGCTTGGTCAGATACACGTTCTTGTGCTCGTCTGCCACGTCTTTTACCGGAAGAGAACTAATATACCGGACGGTTCTGGAATTTGATACGGGATCGACGGTAAACATGCTCTCGTCGGTGAACAGGATTGCCGGATTTTTTCGCTTAAGGAAGTTCAAGATTTTCTTGCATTGTTCGACTCGTAGCTCCCGGATGCGGTTGGTAATCATGTGAGTTTTTATCCTTGCCCTCGACTTCGCCCCGCAGTTACGGTGTTCCTTTGCTAATTTCCTTATTGAACGCACTGGATTCACCCGAATCTTCCTTTTGATAGCAGCGATAACCCTCGGAAGCCGAGCTTACCTCGGGCGACCTGTGGCCACCTTCGCGGATAGTTGTCCTTTCTTTTCTCGGTTTAAAACCCTTTTGACGGTCCACCGGGACACTCCCAGGGCAATTGAAATGTCTTTTTGCGACATTTGCGCGTGGGACAAATCACGAATACGCTGCCACTTCGTCATGGTGCAACTGTCAAACTAAGTAAATCATTTTCTTTTATACACAGCCTACTACGGTATGAGCTATAGGTTACGTGCATGCAAAGAAAACCAAGGCATTGTATGCACAGGTGAAACGGGAATCTTATTTGTACGATGGTGCAAACATTATCATATAGCATGTGGTATAATTTGATCCCGAGATTGAGCATTTATTCGCGAGAAATCGGCGATTGACGTGTTTGTTTACAAAAGCAATTACGCCCAAATCTCGAAGCTCTCCAGAATTGTTCTCTATATTTTTGTGTCAGACGTCAAGTCGATCAGAAATGCTGTTTCAAGAACGCCATTTTGAAAATTTGACACGATCCAAATTGGCAGAATTTTAGGCTGACATCTTGACTCATTGCCCATAACAAACAATTTCGAAAATGTTTTTCCGGCGTTTCTTTGTGATTTTCTTCCATTGTTAAAATTTGCGTTGGGAAATTTTTCTCAGATTATATTTTAGGGTAAATGACTGCTTCGGTAATACCTTATTCTATTATCGTCAGGGGGTAAACAAAGGCCTTGAGAGCTCAATTTTGGCAATGGAAGAATATATTGTGTTTCAGGTTATCTATTGGCCAAATTTGAGTGCTCTAGGAGTTTGTTTACCTCCCTGGCGTTAATAGGTTAAGATATTGCCAAAGCCGACATTTCCCCTATATGGATTGCTGAGATCATATCCTCGTAATTTCACTACATTCTGCCATGCTCTTGGCTCATGACTTACTATTTTTCAAAGTAAAGGACGTCCGAGAAAATTCAAAGATCAACTAAAGTTTTCCCGGATATTTGGCCATCCATTTTTTTTTAAATTTTTAGTTCATTAATGTGATTGTAGCACAAACGAAGTGACGGACGGAGCGGCTCGAAAACTTTGGTGACGCACCTGCTATTGCAATTTTTCAGTGTATCACATGGCAACACCACTACCACTGGATTGTACCACATGGCAACACTAAATGTACTAGAATGTTTTGGTTCTATCTCTTTCACTCTACTCTAAACTGAAATGCATAAAAAATGACAAAATGATACACTCTTTGCACACTGTTAAAGATCATATTGCACACAAAATCAACTATGTTCAAATCAAAACAAAAATACTAGCCCATCTGGTGGCTGATGGCACAAGCTTCTAAGAAAATTCTATTACAGCGAACCACATTATTTTAATTGATTTCTTCGCCAGTTAGTCGTCTGTCACTTCGTTTGTGATCGTAGTCTCTACCTGTGGGTGATTCTGAGAACCTTCGGCCTTTATGTCCATTAACGTTTCTATGGCATTTGAAAAATTGCGGGATATTTCAAGAAGTTCTGAAAATTTCAAAGAAACTCTAAGAAATGAAAGGCAGTTGCGACGCCCAGAACGACATGGAAATTGTATGGTTAATTTGCTTAACGACGTGTTCTGGGTATCATCCAAACCATTTGTGGAATAGTTCAATGATTTGGGTTATCGTTCGTTTATGGTTATTTTTTATTAGGGAGTTTAAAGATCTGTTCTGGTAAGTTCCGATTGCTTTCAATATTTTTCAGGTAAATTTTGAGAACTTACATTACGAACAATTTTGCAAAGTTTCATATAAATTGGGCAAGGTCGATTATACATTTTTTTGATGATTTTCCTGGAACTGCTTTTTTTAGTTACTTAAAACTTCTCTGAAGCTTCATAACATAATCTAAGTTTTTTCTAAATAGTATATAGGCGTTTACTAAGCTTCTCCAGATGTTCCAGGTGCTTATTTAGATGATCATTGAAACTTTCTAGATGTTCCTTGAACATCTCTAGAGCCTTCTTCTGATGTTCATTGTTCTTAAGAAGATATTCTCTTAACTTCTCTAGTTGTTTTCTGAACTTTTAAAGATTTTCGTTGAACTTTTTTTTTTGTTTTCAGAATATCTATGGATTAATATTATTATCATAGAGTTTTGGCACTTCTCAACAAAAATGCTGGAAAATTTCACCTACCCCGGGCTGTTTTTATGCCAAGGGGGTTAGGCTCTGTGGATCTCATTCTTCAGTTCTCGTCCTAATTTGTTTGCCTCAGTCGGATCAGTTATGATGATTCAGAAACCGCCGGACAATACTACAGGTTCCAAGAATCACTGCTTTCTGAAAGCTGTTCATTTCTCTTCGTAGTTCCAACTCTTCAAGGGAACTTATAAGGGTACGAGGAACAATTCCAGTCGCCGAGATTACTACCGGAACTATATGCACATCTTCCAGGTGCCGCATCTGCTTCAACTCCTCCGCCAAATCGTGGTACTTCAGTATCTTGGTCGAGAACGTTGACTGAACATTGCGATTTAACGGTTCAGCGATATCGATGAGGGTAACCCGCTTCATCCTTTTGTCGTAAACCATAATGTCAGGGCGATTGGCACGAATGTGGACATCCGTAATGATCTAGCGATCCCAGTACAGTTTTATGCAACTATTTTCCAGTACCGGGTCTGGCAGGTACTTGTAGAAGGGTACGTACTGGTTCACCAAGTTGTGCTTAGTGCAAGTTGTTGGTGCACAATCTTAGCGACATCGTTGTGAGGACCGAAATACGCTACTTCTGCCAATGCTTGGCAACCAGCAACAACATGTTCGATCGTCTCCCCTACTGGATTGCACTTTCTACAACGGTCTTCTACTTCTTCGACATGCGCTTGTCGACATGCGCTTGTTCCAACTGATGGGTATGCGTCCCATGAATTCTGGCTTCCACGATGCGACTTTATCTTCGACAGTTTTTAGGTCGCAATTCAACTGGTAGTCTTCCTGCGCCAGATGCAGGGCGCTGAGCCCGTGGTCTGCCTCACAAACAGCACGGTAGACTTCGTGACGGTTCTGGCATAGCGCTTGGATATCAGTGATGCCTCTTCCTCCTTCATTACGTGCCAAGGTGACTCTCTCGACGGCCGACTTTGGGTGATGCATGCGATGCTTAGTGAACGCCACTCGTACTGCTCGTTCTATCGCCTCCAAGTCTGTTGTGGTCCACTTGATCACCCCAAAGCTGTAGGTCAACAGGGGCACGGCAAACGTGTTTATCGCCTTTATCTTGTTGCCG